CTGAATTTCTCAATGACCTTCATTAAGTAACTTAATAAAGAATACATCTGCTTAAAGCAAGTACACAGGGACCACAGAATCCGTGTGTTGTTACTTAATTAGGTTTTTTTTTTTTTAACAACTCTTCTTAACACAAGCCAAAGAACTAAACAATCTCTAAGGAATTACTCAAAAATTCATGCAGAAGATTCAAAACACAATCATGCAGAAAAATATGGACTCTGGATTTTCTGTTGATTACAAGATACTAAACTCCATTGTGAATCTCACAAAATTATTTTTCTTCATGAAAGTCAAAAAAAAAATAAATCGAATTTGGCTGAATATTGTTGAAAATGCAAAACTATTCAGTTACATATAAAGATCAGAATTACCAATCATAAAGAGACAGCCTTAAGTCAATAGAAAGTTTTAAATGTAAAACTCAGTAAGCAGAGATTTTTGTTTTAATATTTAAATACTAAAAGATACATTTCAAATAGTTCTTACATATTGCAAACATTCAGCCATTCTTACCCAAGCACTATAATTTTATATTTATTGCTTTAAGATTATTGTTTCATTAAGCTGGTAAACACTTCTTCCCCATATCTTTGAAATTAAAAAAGAGTAAATACCTTGCACAAGTTTTCTATTCAGAGTGTTTTATAGCATCAGTATAACTGATTACTGAATTCCCAGTTTTAAGCTGAATTGCCATTTGTCTATTTAATTACTACATAAAATATCATAATTTGGGAAATTAGATAAGGGATATTATCTCTATCAAATAAAAAAGGAAAAATGTGACGTTTTCCTCCTCGATTGACTATTGCTTTAATAAGATAATTTGAGTTTTACTGAGAAAGAATGGAGAAAGTAAGCAAGTCAAGTTAAAAGGAAGTCTATCTCAATGTCAGCTGTCAGTCAAGGAGACTCCCAGAGCAATCTTTCAACCTTCAGGCAGATTTATGACTGCAGTTTAAAACTAGCAGTGCCTGAGTGGAAATTTATAATTATTCTAATCAAATTATTGCTGAGCTACAAAATATAATTAGCCAGCTTAATTGGGAGATAAATTAAATGTATATTTTTATTCCATTTTTGTCAGATGCAAAAGTTGTAAGCTGTCTAGCAATCATGTGTAAAAATGTTATTTGAAAATGTCAAATCTTGTTTTGTTTCTGATGTTTTAGGCATACAGAAGACACACAGGAACAAAAAAGATTATAAAAGAATGCAAGATTTTTGTTTGTGACATCCTGTGTCCTCTCAAGAGTAAGGAATCAAAAGAGTCATTACAATGAATTGCTGTTTACTGCTGCCTTTTATGCTGGGAATTCCTCTCCTATGGCCTTGTCTTAGAGCAACAGAAAACTCTCAAGCAAAGGAAGTCGAGCAGCCAGTGGGATCTCATTTGAGAGTGAAGCGTGGCTGGGTTTGGAACCAATTTTTTGTACCAGAGGAAATGAATACGACTAGTCATCACATTGGCCGGGTACTTGTTTAAAATGTTACAGTAAATAGCACAACAATGTAAATAAATATGTTGGAGAAGTTTGGGGATTTGATGAGTTCCACATTTTGGCAGTGAAACCATTAAAAAACTTCAAACATTAGCATCAGTAATTGTTTCATATTTGCAAGCACCTAAAACATCCACTAAAATCTAGAAGAGGGATAGCTCTGGTTTTTAAATTTCACTTCAGTATCCCTCATTTTCAACATCTGTAAACTTGATGTTGTTATTTTTGGTAATGGTTCAAAGCAGCTACACTGAGACAAGTATCATTTACCAGCAGTATTTAGCCCAATTTTCTGTTACGCTAAGTAGCTGTTGATTTACCCCTCATTCATTTTTAATGAAGCAGATTAATACCATATTCTTTTCCAGTTAAGTAGCTTCAGGAGCCTACACACTTCAATTGATTAGTAAAGTTAAAGGAAAAGAAATAATTATGTTCACTTTCTTAAATGAATATATTTTAAGAATAATTCCTTAATGAGACAAAATACATCTTATTTATGTTTTTGGTTTGTATTTTATTATTTGGTTTTCTTTAAATAAAGGTAATTACAATATCATGTCCTTTTCCTTAAGGCTTTTTCTCTAGATGAATGAACTGAAATAAGTTAAACCGCTAATTAACTGGCACTAAAATTTAATTGGGCCCAGAGGGTGAAGCACTCAAAATTTATTAACTCTTATTTTCTAGCCCTTTCAGGAGAGCTGCAGTGTGAGCATGGTATCTGGATTCCATAGAAGTTCACCTATGTTATCAGCCAAATATATATGAGTACATTCAAGTAAAGGCTAAGCTTAGGATTTTAGGCAAGTATTTCAAAATGTGTAGGAAGGTGTATTATGAACACACACACACACACACACCTGTTACAAGTAATATTTCTCATCCTTTTTTATTTTCTACTCTGACAGCAAGTAAATAGTATGCACGGATGGCACTAACAAGGTCCACAGCTAAGTGCGAACTCCGTAACTGAGTCTCGACTACCTTTACAGTGGACTGCACAGAGCACCATATGCTCTCCCATCATTGCAAGGGTGACAGGCTACAATCAGCTGTTGGCTTTTAGTAAATAACGTGTTGTAGGGAAGTGCATCAGTGTAATTGGAACAAAGGCAACCTGTGAGGCTGTTACATTTTCTAGATTGTTTGTTTCTATCCGCACATGAATCTTCGCTTACCTCTTTTCACACAGTGATTGGTTTTGCCTATTTTTTCATTCTACAAAAATACTTGCGAAACCACTCTGACAAATATTTTCCTGCTACACAAACTCATTGGGCTTAAGAAACAAGCAGATCACTGATTTAAAAAAGAGTAATAATGAATGTTTAGGTGCTTGTAAAAAGATTTAGTAAAGATACAATTTAGCTGATGTTTTCAAGATAACTCTCTCTTTGATCCATTTGTTTGAAAAATGATTAAGATTGGGGAGTACAATTAAGTGAACATTTGACGTGATATTGGTTTAGCAAATTGATAGTAGCAGCCTAATTAGGAAAATATTTTTTGCAAAGAAGTATAGAAAATTGTGTAATATCAGAGAACATTTGATTGAAATAGGTTTAACGTATGCATTTTGCCACATTAAGAGGAAAGGGTTCAAGTGATTTTTTTTGTTTTTATTTGTCTTCCCTTAAATCGGGGTCTTAAAAATGTCAAGCTCACTTGTCTTTGAAAATTACACTGTACATATACTTGCAATATATTTATTTATTACTAAATTTAATTTATCTTAATTATAATATTAAATTATCAAACAATTAAATATTATTTTTAAAATATGAACCATACATTGCTCACTTGATATATTGATTTGACTGTATGTTTATTTTCCTCAATTTCTTACATCATAGAATAAATACTTTTTTATGAATAATTAATAATTATCAAATTAAAAGTAATATTAGCACAAAGAGAATTTGGATGCCCTTTTTCTCCATTTGTTCCATTACACAGCATTTATATTCGGCACGTTATTAAAATGCTAAATTAGTTACTATTGCCTTTAGATTTTCTCCACAACCACATAGAAAGTGTATTAATTTATCCGGAATAATAAATTATAACGAGACATCAGAAAAAAATATGCATTCGTTTACAACTGTATTTCATGGTTATCTTTATAAATTTTCAGAAGAACTTGTACTTTGAATAAGAGCATTTTCATAAATGGTGAATCAAGAAAATGTGGATTCACAATGATTAGAGAATCATGACATACTTCTCTTAGGTACAAATAATTTAGATATGAAAAGCTATGTGATCAGTTGTATCAAAATTAGACTTGTTTTCTGTTACAGATAAATTCAAAATTCTAAATAATACCTCAACAGTATGATTGATGAACAAATTTATGTTGCTTTTGAAAATATGAAAATGTGAGCACAGGCTGAAAGTGTATATTTGAGAACTAGGTAGAATATATTGAGGAGAAGTTTTTTTATTGCATTTTAGGTTTTGGGGTACATGTGCAGGACATGCAAGATAGTTGCATAGGTACACACGTGGCAGTGTGTTTTGCTGCCTTCCTCCCCTTCGCCCACATTTGGCATTTCTCGTACTTTCTGGCTAAAACCCAAGGGTTAAAGACCATGTTACTGAGTTGTGGTCAGGGGAGAATCTAAAATTTGACAGCCTCATAGAGAATTTGATAACCTCATGGCGTAAATCCTAAATCTACACAAAGACCATGTCACTACAAAAAAGTTTGTAAAACGAAATCTCACTTTTCTTCTCTGTAGGAAGACTGATCATATCAATAATATGCATTTCATTATATTAATATGAGAATTATTTGAGAACACGAATTAAAGCAATTTGTAGATTTTATGACATGTAATAGATACTAATGAACCATAATTTTTATCTTTATAATCCCTAATTTTCATCCTAATATTTTCTTGTTTTCATGTATTTCCAGTCAAGAGACAAATCATCGCTGTTTAAATGTCCTTAAATTATCTTTCTATCCATCTCTAGGTCCCAATCTAGCATAAATATTTGAGGGTGTGGTTTTAGTGACTAAGAATTTAATAGTAAGTCAAAATTGAACCAACTATGTTGTACATAACTTAAAAAAGAAGTTTTATTTAATTATTATTATTTTTGTTTAGAATAATAAAAATTGTATAGTTCTTTACACTAAATTTTTACTCTTCCCTCTTCTTGGTGATAGATTTTAATCTTAATGTTAATATTTTACCTCATTTAATGTAATATGGAAATAATATAAAATCATTAACTTGGGAAATAATTAACAAACATAAGAAGAAAATTCTTAAATTTGATTTGTCTAATTCAGATGTTTGGAAATTAAAGGATCCCTCTTTCCATTTGCAGCTCAGATCTGATTTAGACATTGGAAACAATTCTTTCCAGTACAAGCTTTTGGGAGCTGGAGCTGGAAGTACTTTTGTCATTGATGAAAGAACAGGTGACATATATGCCATACAGAAGCTTGATAGAGAGGAGCGATCCCTCTACACCTTAAGAGCCCAGGTAATAGACATCACTACTGGAAGGGCTGTGGAACCTGAGTCTGAGTTTGTCATCAAAGTTTCGGATATCAATGACAATGAACCAAAATTCCTAGATGAACCTTATGAGGCCAGTGTACCAGAGATGTCTCCAGAAGGTATTGCATATTAATTTACATCAAAGATATATTAACAATGAAAGCAGGTTTAAAATTTCAAGGATATGTTTTGGAAGTAGATGATTAAAGTTCTATACTAGAACTTCCTTCCTCAAATATGTTTAAGTAAAATATTTGAAAAAATAGGCTATGCATCAAAATTTCAAAAAAAAAATACTACATAAAAATTATTTATGTTATTAATATGCCATCACAGTCTTCACAGCAATAAAATAAGTTTAGACATGTTTATTTGAGCAATTCTTAATATTAGTTGTCCTGCTCATTTACTAGATTCTTAATTACAAGAATTTTTAGAACAAAATATATTTTTGTATCTCATAAAAGCAAATAAGATAATCCCACAAGATATGCATATTGAAATATGAAAAGTGAATTTATTACACACGATCGTATACATCAAAACCATAAAACAAAACCACTAAGACAAAACCAAGTGGTTGAACATCTGTGTGTGGCTGTATTTATTTGAAGATCCTTTTCAAAACCCTATGTTGTTGTTGCTAATATTTTAAATATAATACATTTAGGAGAGAATGGTTTCTATAAGATAAAAGAATTGAGTGTCCTGGAAATAAGAAATGTCTTTCCAGTAAAGGGGAAATTGTGATTATGCAAAATTTCTCTCAGTCATTCACTCAAAACATTTTCATAGCACAATATACCATAAAGCTTAAATCAAAAATTTATTAACAGTAACAAATAAATGTGATTCATAACGATCATTTTAAATTATGGTATTATGCTTATAACTACTTTACCTCATTAATTCATTCACTAGAAAATGATTCTACAAATACATAGTCTATCATATTATTTTCTGATTGTTTGTTTTTTAACATTCTAGGTAGGAATTTAAAGACGTAGTTCTACATTGTTTAGAACATCTTAGGTCTTTAAATACAGCAGAAACAAATTTGCCTGTGTAATGTATATCAAGACACATTATTGTTAGGTGTAAACAGCACTTTAAATTACCCTACTTTGGTAGCTAGGTGAAGAAACAGTTTGTCTTCCTCCTCCCTCGCTCTCCTTCTTCTCCTCCTTTCCCCTGCTGCCCTCTCATCTCTCTCCTTATTCCCTCTCTTCCCTCTTCCCTCTCTTCCTCCTTCCTCTCTATGCTTCTTCCTTTTCTTCCTCTGCCTCCTTCTTATTCTTTAGCAAGCATATATTACAATCTTAACATTTGCAAGGAATCTTCTTGTGAAACTATAGTCAGAATTGTAAAGGAGATAAAGGAGTTACCTGCTAATATGAAGCATATACAAAAAGAAAAAGTTATTTTTAATTAAAAGAGGTAACATATGATAATGTATATTATAAAAGTGTTATGCATGGCTGAGGTATGCTGATTATTAACTGTCTGGAGAAAACAGAACATTTTAGGAAGTGATATTTGAGGTGAACGATACACAGAGCCCACCCATACCACATTCTATGGAAAAAAAAGTTCCATAGCAGAGTGCTTATGACGGCATGAATCAATATGAGAGTCATCGATATGTATAGCACATATGTCAGGCACAACAGTGAATGAGATCCTTTTGGCAGAGAATGTAGCTAGAGAAGAGAAAAGCATCCGGGCTGACTTGACTGTTAAGCAAAAAGCAGTCGGCTGGCAAATTAGAATGAGCGGGATTGGCAAGTGTTGTAGGAAGAAGAGAAAGATATGAGGAAATATGTTCCAAAAGAAGAGATTCTCTCAACCGTGTGGAATGCTGCTGTGAGGCTAAGATTAAGACAGAGTGGTGACTTTGGATTTGGTAAGTTGAAGATCCCTGGTTTTTTGATAAGTACAGTGGTTTAATTTGTGTTATTTAAATTTGTGCAGTTTGCTGAAGATTATTGTATGGCATAAAAGGAAGAATAAGAGAAAGTAAGAATGAAATAAGCCAAGTCTAAAAGGTGTTATGGTATAGGGAGAAAAGGAGATGTGAGACACTAGGCAGAAAAAGATGAAGGTCGAGAGGATGTTTTGCTTGTTTACAACTATTCAATTGTTTTTTAAGAAAGGAAATTGAAAGGTACAGTCATAACTATAGGAAATGATCCCAGAGAATATTTTTCAAGCAAAATAAAAGGGATATAACTTTTGTAAAACTATGCTTAAAAAAAGAAAGAAAGAAAGGGTCATGGAATCCACTGTACTTATAGAAGGGACAGATTATTGATTAACATATTTATTCATAACAAATCAGTTAATAAATGTTTCTATTTTATCAGTGACTGATCAAATAGACCAAGGGTCATAAGTAAAACATTTCTATTTTATCAGAAGCACAATACTAAGGCAGTAATTAACAGCACATGGGTAAAATTTTAGAGAAGAGGTGGTACAAAACAGCCATTTTACAGAGCTGAGTAGTGAGCCCACAAGAGAATTATTGGTATCATGGTAGCAGTGCAGCTCCACCGTAGGCGTTCAGAGAAATTGCAAAACACAGTTTGGTGTGTGCAATATCTGGTTGTCCCAAATCCTTTGTGCATTGGAATGTGAGATATATGTACAAATTATCTTTTCAATTTGTATAATCAATACCTACTGTGTCAGTGCCAGTTAAACTTTGTATGAAATCATTCAAAAACCAATGAGCACTTTATATGCCTTTCCATGAGAGGGAGAAGCCAACTGAGTGATGGTGAGCTGCTATTAGAAATGTTGTATGATATGGAAATCGGTGAATATTTCTATTGCTTTGTCAACCTTCTAGCAATGCTTTCCTTCTGAAGCATTCTGGCATTTTCGTTGACAGTGATGTAAATAAATCAAGTAATCAAATTTTATGTTATTTCTCTTTTTTCCTCAATTTCAATATTAAATTAATGCATACTGTAGATTATATTACCTAAATATAACTTTAATTCTTCATCATCTTTCATATGCGCAGACATTTGAGTTTTTGAATATTGACCTTACTTTCAAATTTCTTAGCCAGCTACTTTATTCTTTGAAGAACAGCTATTACAAACATTTTACTGTTTCTTTTTCTTACATATATTTCTTTTGTATTGAAGTGAACTGCCTGAATCTGCACTTGAACTCAGAATATGGTTTAAATTACTAAAAGGAATCCACATTTCATTATGTCATGAGATAAAAATCAAGAAAATTATTAACAACTTGTTGCTTATTAAACATGAATTTATTTATAAGTAATGATGGGCTTTTACTGACTGCATTTATATTTGAAATGAAATTACTTTCAAACTAGAACATTCAGGTAGAATTGAGATAAAACATTATGTTTTCCCAATTGTCACTTCGGATTTGCAAAGTTATTATTTTTCTTCTATACAAAAATATAAGATTTATTAGACCAGGAGTCACAGAGTGACCGAGGTTTGGAATGATTGATAAATAAATGAATGGGTGCATGGTGGACAAAAATGCTAAGTAAGTGATTAGACTAGTTTAGGATATAGATGGAAGATACCAGGAGATGTGAAATTCAGGGAAATCATTCTGAAATTATATCTGAATACCCAGGCTATCACGTATATGATTTTTCATTTCAATAACAGTTGATAGTTTTACCTAAAACCTTATAATGTCAAAAAAAGGAAGTGGCATTTAAAATATATGTGGTATGCTACTTAACAAGCAATTAAGCCAAAGCAGAGTCGGGTAACTTATCTTCTGCAAGCAGAGCAAAATCCTGCTAAAAGTGAAACGTGTTTTAACAGGTATCATGTGAAAAACAACCATAAGAAATAAATATTGATGTTGTACACATTAAGAATGATCGTTATTGTTAATGCACTTTATATGTTTGTGTATGTGCAAATGTGAAAGGAAAATAATTTAAACCTGATTTAAAATTTAGTTTCACATATTTCCTGCCTACTAAAAGCAAGGTAAATATATTGTCTAGTCAAAAGACTCTATCCACTCTCTTTGGAGTTTTTCCAAATAAACATCGTTCACCGGATTTTTCATAGCTGCAGTCACTGAGTGCATCCTTTTTAATATTAGCCAGTGTCCAACATTCCTTACACTTATTGATCATTTTATTAAATTTTCAAAACCAGATGCTTTTGAAAATGAACGGGGAAAACTGATGAGTAAAACTTTGTTTACTTTACTAGTTAAGGAAGTTTATTACAGCATTTCAGATTTTAAATTCAAATATAGTAGGTTACAATAATCTCCGCAATTATTAAACAATACTTTAATATGCGTTTTTTGGAAAAGTATATATAAAATTTAATCATCATCAATATGGCACAATATGTCATAAAGCAGAGCTTTTATAGAAATATTAAATTAATTTTAATCGTTGTACATAAAATCTATACAAATTTAATTTCTCAGGAAAATAAAAATTATTAATTTTTTAAAATTATTACATTTGAAAATTAAATTCTATAAATATCGTGACTTTGGGCACATGAGTTGAAAATGATTTAGACTGGGATGAATTTCTCTTCTTATTCCTCTAAATACATTATTGTTTGATTTCTTAAACACAGTCTAAATTGTTTCACTTAAATTCTGTTATCTCAGATTATAAAAAGTAGAGGTGTCAAAAATACAAAACAAAATAATAAAAATGACCTAGTTTTTAGGTGACTGTGGACAGAAAAACAAGAAAATTGAAGAATGCTTTGCCCAGTTAAGATGACAAGTGGGAAAATATTATGTTTCCGCAGTTTTACTTTGAGATTTTAGGTTGTAGAGTAATTGCAGCTCAAGTATAAATGCAGTAAGAATGGATCAGTCAGTACTTGTAGACAAATAATTGTCCTCTTACTAATAAAATAAGTTCCCAGTGAGAAAGAGTAAGGAGATACACCTATAAAACCATTATATCATGCATTTGATCATTTGATCACCTCATTCGTCTTATATTTTTTTTATTGGTGCAGGAATTACAGATGTAGAGTGTGGGTCAATATAATATTATTTAATCTGTATTGCTTTAACGTTGACAATTATATAATTCAACATCTCAATAAATTTGTTTCAGATTAATCAAGGTATACTTGTACTAAAACTGAAATAGCTTTTCCATTAACTTTATATCTCCATTCTATGAAAAAAAGTTAATCTTCTTACTATTGAATTCAAAACCAATATCATATGATATATTAAAGTAAATGTCATTCTGAAATCTACAGCTGAAATCTCGGCATTCAAACACTATACTATACTGTGGCCCTTGCCCTTTATATTCCACGATGAAGGTAGACTTTAATTATGAAAGGCCCTTGCCACAGGTTCCTAACTTCTCTATTGCCTACATATCTAAATTAGTCCGCACATTAAAATTTATCACTTTTTATGTTTTTATGTTTCGATGCCTCCCGTAATCACCAGTGGATAAAGCATTCTATGTGACATAGCAGAGGACGTTATTTAATAAAGTTTTGTTAGCCCTGTTAAACATCTACATGAGAATCATTTAGACCTCTGCAAAACTCCTGGTTAATAATAAAATTCACATAACTCAACAGAGACAGAGTTATACTATCTTTACATCAGGTTTTACTCAGTGATGTCAGAATAGAGCTGATGTTTGGAGAAATTATTACTGATGCTGTCATTAATGCTCTCAATTTTCCAAATTTCTACATAGTTTTATTTGTACAACATTACAAGAATGCTTCATTTCACACACACAAATATTTTATCTTCTATTAAAACACTATTTTCGCACTAAAATTTTCTGTCATAAAAATGAAAAATATATCAGTAAATGCAATTTCCAGAGACTACTAAACTAAGATGTTCCTTTCAAACATTTGGTGCAAGTTTACATCCTGTGTCACTTATGTCATGGGTCCTCATCAACGGAGCCATGGCCTCTTAGGAATGGGCTGCACAGCAGGGGGTGAGCAGTAGGCAAAAGGGCTAAGCCTCCTTTGTATTTATAGTCACTCTTCATGGCTTGCATTACCACCTGAGCTCCACCTTCTGTCAGATAGCAATGGCATTAGATTCTCATAGGAGCGTGCACCCTATTGTGAAATGCGCTTGTGAGGAATCTAGGCTGCCTTACCCTTAGGAAAATCTAATGTTTGATGATCTGTCCGTTTCCCATCACCCCCAGGTAGGACTATCTAGTTGCAGGAAACCAGGCTCAGGGCTCCCACTGATTCCTCATTATGGTGAGTTGTGTAGTTATTTTATTATATTTTACAATGTAGTAATAGTAGAGATAAAGGGCACAATAAATGTAATGCACTTTAATCATCCCCAAACCATCCCCATGTCCACTCCCCACTCTGACCATGGAAAAATTGTCTTCTACAAAACTTGTCCCTGGTGTCAAAAAGGTCAAGGACCTCTGACCTATGTTACAATAAATTTCTGCAAAGAATGTGACTGATAAAATAAGCAAAGTCAAATATTTTGTTAAACTTATTTTTATAAAGACCTTTTGCCATGAAAAGTTGCCAAGATTCAGAAATTAGCTAGAAAGGCAGGACTAATATTTTAAATTTGCAATTATAAAAAGTCTCTTCAGAGTAATACAGGCAAACAATGTCAACTATCTACACAATAGTAGAGCCCAGGATTATTATATTAATTACTATATTTGTATGGCTATTATTAGAATAAGTGAACTGATAAGTTACTCTAATTACAATATGATTCTAAGAGAATATGTTTTTCTAAGTACACTTTTGTTCACTTAGGGTGGATACAAACTGACTTGAAAAGCTCTTTAGGATGCAGGAGTGCAGTCATTTTGATTCTTTGCATTTCCAGATACCACTGCCATCTCTGATCCAGCCACAATGACCCTACTCAGGGATGCAT